TAGCTCGTTGAGCTACAAGTCGATCGACCCCAAGGCTCGCGGGTTCGTATTTCCGCCTCAGAAGTTAATTTCGACACATGAATGTTTTGTGCTGAATAATCACGCACAAAATCGGTGCAAGATCTATTTAGGTACATCGCATTGTTGGAACTGGTTGATTAAAAAATCAGATACCAGTAGATAGCTTGTGGAGTAGTACTATGTTGTACTACGGGGTCGGTAAAAGGAGTCAAGAGTAGTCTAGTCTCTTGTCCCCCCACATCACTACTACTATCATGTGTTTATCAAGTGTTTTACTTAAAAAAAATGGCATGAAGTAGATCGACTTTGTTGTTCCAAACCAAGTGTGGATAAATGGAGTATGAATATGCGGCATGCATAGTCTTTGAGCTATGGCACGCTCCGATATCTTCATAAATCGATTGTACGTTGAAATAAGGCTGTAAAATATAATGAGTATCAGCAGGAAAAAGTATTTCTGTTATAAAAAAAAAAGTATGCACAATTGTACGTTCTGTTAGACCTCGCAGCTGGTGATGTAAAAGAATAAGTATAATTTAATTATTAAATTAAAATATACTGTGACATAACCACTGGTTAAGACCAAGCTAGACAGCAGCGGTGGCCGCAGTAGTAGACTCTTCGGTCTCCTGATCAGTCGCCGTGCGCTGTGCGGGTCCGAATCCCGTTCCAAGAGACATTTTGCTCTTGGCAATGGATGTTGTGATTGTCCGTAGATGGTAGACGGTCTCTGGCTGTCGAACGTGGAGGTACCACCCGGCGGATCTCGTAGGCGGAGCCAGAGTGTGTGCATGTTGCATGCACACGTGTTCCCTTGCCAGAGTCCGTGTGGCATTCCCCCTTTCGCCTGTATCCCTCTATAGCGCCACGGTACCCAATGGGTGTTTAGGCTTTAGGCCTTCGTGGTAGTTGGAGTGTAAAATAAAAAGAAAAAACGAATTTATACCAACAATTTTTTGTATGCATCTCTTAGGGTTACAAATTTTAGAAAACCTCAACCGTTGAAAAACATGTAAAAGGTTAACCCTCCAGGGGTCGCGCGGCCTTAAACAACGTCATCGGTCGCGTGTATAGACGTTATCTAACATAAGGCGCGCAATTAGATTTTTTCTAAAAAGTTAATTTTCTATATTTTTGGAATAAAAGCAATATTTTTTAAATGGTATTATATATATATTTTATTAAAAACAGAGAAAATAAGAATCTGACTATAGAATTAACTTTTATGTGTTATGATAAACAGAGGAAATAAGAATCTAATTCTCTTCTCCAACATCATTACATTCTTTACAAATAAAAATAGTTGATAAGATCTTTACAGATAGGTGTTTGACAGCGGTCACACTTATGTTGTGTAAATCTATTTTTGGCAATATCCGCACCTTGGTTTCTGCTCTGGATTCTGTGGGGGTGTATTTTTCTTTTGAATGCCAGTAATCGATCGAATTTTTTGTCCAAGAGGAAAAGAAATATTTGTAAGGGGAGCTCGTTTCATCATGTGTGGTCTTATAAGCTTTTTTGCCAAAGATGTAATGAATGCGCGTCTTGGTATAGTTTTTCCATGGTGTGCCATCCTTTCCAGTGAAATGCGGTATTTTCTTCAAAGCAGATAGAGATAAAGGTAAACAAATATCCTCGTCATCAGAGTCCGAGGATTGCTCCGTATTAGTATCATGCAAACTGTGTTCAGAGGCAGCGTCATTTATGTCTAACTCAGACCCTACATCTGATTCAACTTCTTCGTACCATTGCTGCCATTTGGCTTCTGTTCTTGGTGAAATCATATCTGGGAAGACCAATAATAAGTCTAATTATTGACGAAATTTGACCTGCCGTATATTTATTTACAAGACAAAATAAAATCTAACCAAGAATATGATAAAAATTATGTCAAGGAATTCATAGAAAACGAGAAAACATGACAGACATATCAAAATCATAATCATTCTTTATTACCAGTAAAATCAAAAAGTTTGACAAAGCAACGCCACAAAAAAATGAGCTTTGAGCCCTTAGCAATATTTAAAATTATCCTTTTGTATTAGTTACGTGACAGTTCAACTTACCAAGATTATCGAAAAAATCACATACGGGATAGGTCGCACCGTAAGATTCTTGCTAACACTTTTGAACAACGTGATCGGTCGCGCGTTAGATATATACTAAAATTATCAAATTCAAGATGACTATTTACTTTATTTGCACGCGAATTATGCATAGATGTTGCCTAGCGACACCAATGAGGCATTCCAGGAGTCTCAAGGCTATAATACTAATTTTTAATAAGAACTCTGTAGTGAATTATATTTTGTTAGATTTTTTCTAACACCGAGACTGATGGAGGGTTAATAATATGTTGAGCCCCCACGATGTCTTATTTCCTGTTGCGGTACGTATTTCATTCCAGGCTACTTGTACCTCGTTCTCTGCCATAAGCCAGTCGATCACTTTGGCACCTAAGAGCGAAAGGTATGACAAACTGAGCACGATGTGAAGTCCAAAACTGTTGACTTGGCGAATAACATCTCACATTGTAACAGGCTTCCATGATCTCACAGCCATTGGTTCACAGTTGACCTTGTGGATGAGAAGTGGTACCGCAGAGCCAAAAGCCTAAGACTGCTATCATGGTGTAGCCCGTCCTTCAGACATGTCCTGTACCTCTCACCATTTGTGTATGTCTTCTATTGAACGTTCGATAACCAACCACCATATTATTCTTCTATGCGCCCTGGTGGCTATTTCTTTAAAGGACCTTCAGCCTTACGTAAGCCCACTATTCGCCTCGTATCAAACTCGCTAGGCAGCTGAAAATATTTACGTCTTTTCACACTACGCACAGTTAACAGACTACAGCAGCTCTTCACTACAATGATCAAATGCCAATTGTAGCTACAAAGCAGAACTATTGCTTAATTACTGTTTTTAAGGAACAGACGATACCACAGAAACCATGTTATGGCTGAAAAGCTGATCGATCTTTGTCCTATCCTAAACAATCATGTACCTAGAAAATCTTTGTAATAAATTCACTATTACTGGGTGCTCTTTTTTCTATCTCACCGTATATTTTTGAAATAATCGATGCTGCTGAAGCATCTGTGAAAAGAACTGGGGAATGAAGCCTAAGCAAATATTTTGGCTTTATACCATGGTTGTTAGATCTAATAACCTATGGATCTACACCTTGGTGGGGCAAGGCAGTACAAAGAACTGTCCAAGCCAAACTGAGCGCAACACAGAGAGAAGCTTGTATGTTGATCACTTGTGCTCTTCGTACCACACCAACTGCAGCTATGGAGGTACTTCTTAATTTACCCCATCTGGAAGGCGAGGCAAGAAGGACATCTTATAGACTACATCATGCGGCAAATGGTATAATGGACAATATCACTATGGAGGAGACGGACTTGATGGTGGACAAAACCACCAGAGTCTGGGAATGCCTTCTGATATAATGCCAAAGACAACAAGATATGCTAAACCCTACTCCGTTCCACACAGGAATGAGTGGAAACAACAAGTTAACCTGATAAGGAAAGATATCTGTGCATACACAGACGGTTCCAAGACCGAGGTATGTGTTGGAGCTGGTATCTCCGTGCCGAACCTGAATATTCAATAATCTGTTAGCTTAGGAACCTGGGTATCGATCTTCCAGGCAGAGCTATATGCTATAGAACTGGGTACCAGAATGGTCGCAGAATGACAACTGAGGCACAGAACTATAATTATTTTTTCAATACTGGGAGGGATTAGAAGGGTTGACCCATGCCAAGGCAACTATACCAATCTTGACAAAGAAGGCAACAGATTCTTTGCTGCGGCTGAACAAGAATAACCTAGAAGCTCTAGTACACACTGGTCATTGCAAATTGCGTCACCACATGAGCAGTCTGGGCATGGCGGAAGACTCTGAGTGCCGAATGTGCATGGAGGGAAATGAAACGGTCAGGCATGTATTGTGCAGATTCCCTGCAATTGCCAGAATCGGGTACAACATACTTGGAGACGTAGTACTCCAAGCAGAAGACCTGGAGGATATTTCTCCAAACAAGTTTATCAAATTCCTCAGGAGATCGGAGCTACTGGGGGAAATATGAGAGGTGTGAGCCACAATAGACCAAAGAGTCGCAGTGGAGGATCTTTATTGATGCACTCCCAAGAAACCTAACCTAACCTAACACACATAGTGCTCAAAATCTGGACAGCTTTCGTAAGTCCCGGTACCATTACATCGTCGCCCGTTGACAAAGAACTCGATGATTGAGCACGTTAAGTCACAAATGTAAATATATATCATAATATGTATGAGACTGTCTCACAAATGAGTGGTACTACCGAGATCACAAATGTCTTAGTAACAAAGAATCTTTCACTGTCGGTTACCGAGTAGTACTTTCCCAAATATATCAGAACCAAGGATTAGCGGACAGACAGACTGTCAGATAAACAGACCGACTAAAATGAGTGACAGAATGTTCGTGATATACATGGCATATAGTATCCAAGAATCGTAACAAGAAATAATCTTCTAGCCTTGTCGCTCGACATCACAAAGCTTCTGATCCGGACTTGACTCCTGCTGTTGTACTAAAGAGATGTGCTTCGGAGCTTGCTCCAGTTCTTTCACGTCTCTTCCAGCTATCTTTCGAATCCGGTACTTTCCTAGAAAACTGAAAATCTAGCCATGTTCCAAAAATGCATCTAAGACCAAAAATATATCTGAGACCAACCCTTACAACTGCAGACCTTAACTCTGCGTGTTATGAGTAAGGTGATGGAGAGGTGCATAGATCGAGAACTTCCCTCACCAATGATCACGCAACTTTAGATTGAACACATCCAGTCATATGATGAAGCTCATGTCATTGCTTTTGATGTCACGAAAGCTTTAGATCAGCTGTGACATGCACACTTCCATAAGCCCTTGTTTAAGCAATAGGAACTATTAATATTTTGAGTCGTAATCATGAAAATTACAAAGTCGTCTTTTCCATAGGTATTGTTTTCGTGAATATATCCTTGGTCGCCATTGCAAACTCGATATTTGGCTTTACATAGGACTCAGTGGTAAACCTGGATTTGTCAATGTTCAGTTCTAGAACTTTTCTGAAGTTCCTGGCATACTCGTCACCAAAAACAAGTATCTTCCTACGGTCGTTTGGGTTGTTTTTAATTGTTGCTGCTGGTGATGGCAGGATAGCCGGTTCTTCTGTACAAGGCTCCAACAGTACCTCGTCAGTAGGACACTCTCCAGGCCACTGGTATCGGTTAAGTCGATTGAACATTGAATAAGACTGTTAGTATATGATGAGCTTTCATCTGTTGGTTTGTTCCCGCACGCTGGTTTCCTATATGGTGGTGGATCAGGTGTTTGTGTGCGTGCTTCAGTCTTGTCCAGTGTCGGTTTGCATTCCACGCTCCGATAATATCTTTGGCTCAGATTTTAACTTTTCTATCAGATCTTTTAGATGGTTAATGGTTTTATCCTTATTCAAAAGCTCATTAGATAGTTTTCCGGTTTTCTCTTTTAATTTTACAATGATTTCACCTAGCTTATTATTCTTGGATTGTTCACTGGATAGTTTGTTTTGAACATCTGATAGTATTTCTTCCTGCGTAACAGTGTTGTCTTCAGAATCATCTGCTTGTAGGTGAATATACCTATTATTGGCTTTATTCGTTTTCACAGAGGTAGGTTTTTTCAATTTAGACTGTAGCCTGGTATTCGTCTTCATTTTTAGATGTTTTCAGGTAATTTTCAAACTATTGGCACCATTCTAAGTCAATCGAACTGTGTGTATACATGTTGGTGTGGTTAATTCCAATGATATTTCCCACAATTTACCTGTTTTTTCAATATTCATCACTGTTCGTCACTATTATCTGTTTAATTACGCGAATCTGCGTCGGCAATATTTTATCAGGAGTTGACACTACTTATTTATGAATGGGAAACGCTATATTAAGATTGCGTTGTTGCCCGATTGGGGGTAAAACAGTTGCTTGCTAAGGTAACTAAAGTTGTTGCAACCGTGATATGGCCAGTGCTATCTGAGGAAGTACCCAGTAGCGAGATAAATACAGTCTGGACGGGGATGGCGAACTCTGCTATGCTATAGTTTTAGTCACCGTTATTGGATATTATTCTCTCCAGTACGCATGAAGTGGGGTAACAAAGAACCGCTAATTGCATTCTCTTCCTAGAATTACTCTAATGAATTGATCGTATTTCCGGGCATTGTAACAATTTTATGTTGAATATTGATAACGGGACAACTAAAATTGCACGCCGATGTCAAGTAAGTTGTCGCTCTGACAAATATGATTGAAGGGCACTCATACGTAACGACAAAGTTTTCGAGACGGAGACACACAACTAAAAAGTGTATGTCTTTGAGCTTACCGAACAAACGTTTACACACAGGGGTAGGTTGCATGAGGGAGATGGAAATGTATAAAGGGGTACGGTAGTCTTTCTTTGACACGCCTAGCACAGTGACTACAACTATGTATGGCAGAGCTTTAAGGAAAGAAAATATAGGCAGCCTATGCATCTGCATTGTACTCTTTTTTGCTATATTAACGACTTCATGTTGTTTCTCCTGTCACACAGTCAATTTCAGGCACAGCGAAGCATACAATGTGATGCCGGTTCGGTCCATGTACATTATCGTTGCCACCAAATAAAGTTTTTTAAAAACGCAGTTTTTCAACTGCACTATTTAGGCTCTGAGAATGGCATCGGCAGATGCATTGCTGGTAGTAGATGGTGATCCGCCGATTAATCTACTGGCCGAAGAAAAATCTGCGCTCTATAAGAAGGACGGTAGAGCGAAAGGCGGTTTGTAAGGTAAGAATTCTGATTATTACGAAACGTGTGTCAAGCACTTTTCAAAACCCCTTCCGTGTCTGTGATCTGGCTGGAAGCTCGCGTCCTGGGAAGTAATAGTGGCAATAGAAGTGGCAGGGAGTACAAACCCCGACCCCAAGTGTATCAACACTCTACTCCACATGTCATTCAACTCGCTAAGCTGTCGAACCTTCCTAAACTCCTGATGCAGGGCATTCCGCTGAATAAGCAACTCCACCAACAAATTCGATGGCCCAGAATATCTCAGTCCTTATACAGGTATATAGAAACAACGTTTCACTTTCTGTGATGTTTCGTCCTCCTCCCAGCACCGTTAAAAGGGATAAGTGCCGGATCAGTTTGGACTGTCCGGTGAGAACCTCGACTAAAGGGTTCAGTGATTTTTTACTCTCGTCCTGTCCCGCCACGAACCTCTTGGCCTGTCTACAGTCATCTCTCTCTCTCGCCACGCCCTTTCCTGGTCACTGGGTACATGGTATCTGTTAATCCCGAATCCGATGTCCATTTAATGCTGGGATTTACCCGGGCGATTAATATTTGCTAATTCTTATAAGCTTCCCGCTATCTACAAAAAATATTTTAGAGCACATCTTGTACAGTTTTCTGATCACTCCTGAACACAATTTGAACATAATTACGAATATTCCTTGAAAATGAATGGTTTTCCAAGATGAGTTAAACGTTTCAGAATGCAAAACTGTCAGCGATAGATCGAGCTAATTTATATTCACCCTTGTTATCGGAGTTGACAAGGGCAGAAAATGAAAACTAAATATATTCGAAACAAAGGATTTTCGAGCACCCTACCGTTTGGCCGTTTGAGACAATTTGTAGATGCAAATGAAAATATCTTTTTGGCGTGCAGAGTAATTAAGACTGCTCAGGAAGGACACTGAAGGGAAGCTATATACTGGCGCAGTGAGAACCTCCAGATCCTTCGTCAGGCAGGAAGTCGAAGGTAAAAAAAAAGATTTAAAATGAGATATTGTGTTATATGACATGTACATCACGAAAAACATTGTCACTCATTTCCGTCGGTCTGTCGCTCTGTCTATCGGTCTATTTGTTTGTCTGCTTGTTGGTCTGTCTGCTGGTCTGTGTGTCTATCGGTCAGTCTGTCAGCCTATCTGTCTGTCGGTCATCTGTCTGTCTATCGGTCTGTCTGTCGATCTACCTGTCGTTCCGTCTGTCGGTCTGTCCGCTAATCCTTGGTCCATCTATATCTTGAGAAGTACCTACAGGATTGTGTTGATTTTTCCACAGAAAGTTACTACAACGCCAGAGAAAGAAAAGCTGTATACTTTTCGAAAGTCAGTCAAGAGGCGGCAAGGAAAAAAGAAAAACCGAGGAAAATAAATATCGCTCAAGCTTTTTTGGCGTTTCAGAGGGTACTTGTCAATGTCCGACAAATTTTTGAAGCGGTTGCAATTCGGAGGTTGGTGGATATAGAATGTGGGGTTTACGTATTTCGAAAATGTTTGAGCTTAGTATATGTATACTAATACTTATCATTTTCAGAGAGACTGTGAAGCGGTTGAAAATCAGAGGTTGCTGGTTGTATGGTGTGAGGTTTGGGTATATTAAACATTTTTGATCTTAGCATGTTTATATGCTCAAAAGCCCGGTAATTCTATGTACCTATTAGCCATATTTCACACGTTATTGATTTTCCCGTACGTTTTACTTTAAGACTTAGAATGATAACGTAATGTTTTCGATCCTAGTATACCCGCTATCTAAATCCGGTCTGGGCAACTGAGCTATCCATACTGCGGTTCAAAAAACGTATACACGGACCATTCACGATATGACCAATATCGCGCATATGTGAAAGAAGACAATGTTGACGAAATGATGAGAGCGTTGCGTCTGAAATGCAGAGTCAACCTACTTGGCGCCATTTTTTCAAACCTGAAATAGTAATCTTGACACACGAATCTCATCGTATGGTTTACATAAAACTGATTAATCTGCACGAACAGTGATATCTGTGTACGTGGCATGTGGGATTCAAAGCGTTAATTGAAATTCAGGTATATCAGTATATTTTGTGTATCGGGTTTTTGCTAAAGCTCTGTGAGACATCAGAACCCAGCATGATGATACCGTTTTTGTCAGAGGATTAATGTTAATTAATGAACCTTAAAAACAAGATAAGTGGCTAATCTACCATTCATCATGTTCAGGTCCGGTATCCTCGTTTTTCAAAACGCGTAGACCAGGTGCTGGGGGAACCGAGTTTGCAAAATTTGAGGACATCATTTTATGCACAGATATCAACTGAGAATAGGTCAAAGAATAATAATCCGGATCTTGATCCTTTTTTTTTAATGTTTTCCCCTTTTAAGTAATATTCTTTTGTTACGACTATTTTTTTCTGATTTCCCGGATCTTCCTGGACAAGAAAGGTCCTAAGCAAACCTTCTCTAAAGTTAATCATCTTCGACCTATAAGCCATTCAATGTCCAAAAAAACGTAAAGATGGCCTTTTTCGATGATTAAAACTCATTATTCATAATCAGTCCGGATGGCGTTTCTAGATTAAAATTTCAAAGCTATTTTTAAGCTTTGTATGTCAAAATTGGCGAATTTTCTGTTTATAGCAAAGTGTATTGGTAGTTAGACCTTTCAGTGTATTCCTATTAACGTTCTTTCTTATTAATAACTAGCTGACCCGACAGACGTTGTCCTGTTTTAGCTATGAACTGGGATGAATAATGAATAATAAAGGGGTAAGTATATGAAATATAGGTAATTGTATATAGCGAAGTGTTTGTACCGCCATGTGGCTAGCAAAATACGTTGGCAGCACTGTCATTCCCCCATCAGCTTACCTTGAACGTAGGCATAAATATATGTGGAATGAATTTTGTTGCGCCAAAAATCAATTATTGTATTGCCGGATATGAGTCAAAAAAAATATATAATCTGGCCCACTGCTGGGAACCAATGAATGTAGTGACTCTGGAGGTGGTACCAATGGAGTCAATTACATGTTTCCACTGACGCAACATAATCCAGTGGCTTCATTTTTAAACTTGAATGCCTTGCAATATGGACTCACAACATTCATTGGTCCAGTAGTAACGATAGTGACACTTCTACATTGTTAAATTTCATTCCTTCGATCCGTTTAACTTCATTTCTCGCTTCTCGTTCCTCGTCAGTTTGACTTCTTATATACATATCATTGACTTGCAGCATTGCGAGTTCTGCGACCTAGGTTGGTACCTACATCCAATAAGGCGTGATTGCGGTGAACTTACTTCCACACTTGTTAATTATTTTTGAACAAATACTTCTAAAAAACTCAGTGAACAAACTGAAAACAGGATAAAAGCTCTAATCTAATGGAGTGTGCATTACTAATTATATAAAACAGTATTCTTCCATCGATAAAGACTGTTAAACGATAATATAAATTTGCGGCGTGCGAGCTGCCAAGTTAAAAATGGACTAGTGAAAGTGAATTAAGCAAAAGAAACGTATTTTCATCCGCCATTATTATTCATAGAGTTCTGACAAAGATAATAATTATTCAACACTGCAGTTTATTTTGAGGGGGCCATCACAAAGTACGGATGGTAATGAAATGTAAGGTCAAAAACGAAAGCAACGTATTTTCATAAGCAATTTTCTCTCACAAAGTTAACTATCAATAGCTGTTGAAATGAAGACAGTGCAGAGGAGTGCCTATCTCTTTGGGTACTTGAAATATTTCTTCTACTTTGCGTGCTCCATGCTCAAGCAAACCGTCAAACGCGCGTACCTTAAATCATTAAATTTTTAATGATTTCCCAATTTTCTGCGCAATTTCCTTGATTTTTCATTCCGTAAGAACCTTATAAAGAGCACTGATATTTGCTACCTGAAAGAATTATTACTGAATATACTGTCGATGAGGTATATCTATTAGGTATACCAGACGGGTTAGGTTAGGTTTCTTGTGAGTGTATCAATAACGATCCTCCACTGCTACTCTTTGGTCTATTGTGGCTCACACCTATTCATATTCCCCCAGTAGCTCCGACCCCTTGAGGGAGTCGATCAACTTGTCTAGACAAATATCCTGCCGGTCTTCTGCTTGGAGTACTACGTCTACATCTGACTCTGGCAATTGCAGGGCATCTGCACAATGCGTGCCTGATCGTTTCATCTAGCTCCATGCACAGTCTGCACTCAGCGTCTTCCACCATGCCCAGCCTGCTCATGTGGTGACGCAATTTGCAATGACCAGTGTACAGTCCTACCAGAGCTTTGAGGCTATTCTTGTTCAGCCGTAGCAAAGAGTATGTTACCTTCGTTGTCAAGTTTCGTATAGTTGCCTTAGCATGGGTTAACCCTGCGAATCCGTCCCAGTATTGATGGATCTTTCTGTCCATCTCTGCAAAGATTATTTGTTTAACCGTATTGTATGCGATCCCAATCGCTGGCTTAGGCCCTATGAAGGGTGTGCTAGCTCCACTTTGCCAGTAGGTCAGCTATCTCGTTTCCCTCTAGACCTGTGCGTCCTGGTACCCATATGAGTCGGACCTCATTTCCCTCCCCTATGCCACCGAGAGCTTCCTTGCGATTCCACACTAATTTCGATGTCGAGAGAGTGGAGTCAAGCGCTTATAAAAGACTGATGTTACATGCATAGGCATTGTAGAATGGTTTTGATATCTTATATTGACATTATGTATATTTGCCCCAGGGACCAGCTTTTCTACTAAATATACAAGATTCTTAGAATATAATACACGACTCAATGTTGTTAGGTAAAAATATTTGAACAGAAAGTTAATACTAAGGCATTTGAGTCGAATAGTCCAGGATGGATAAAAAACTATCAAACCATAACTGATAATTGATAGCACTAAATTTTCAGCCAGCTTTTTCCTCGTCATGACGTTAATAATGCACTTATTGGCATACATTACTCGCAGTTTCAAATAACACCTCAGAGATATTGTTTTAACGTATTGTTGGTAACGTAACTTGTCATATATGATCAAACTAAGTATCTTACCGTTAGTCGAAAAATAAAGTTGTTGTTTATTCAAGAAGAGGGTCAGACCAGTACTCAAATTTTCTCGCTTGTGATCAGCATAGAAAAGCACAAGTTTCTTTTTATCAGGATTTAGTTTCAAATTGTGTTCATTACAATTATTAGTTACTGTTCGTAAGACTGTGTTGATTAAATCACTTGCCTATTATACACGAGATGGTTCAAAAAAGAAGCTGCGTGTCATCAGCATAAGATTGAATGTATGAGTACTGTACGAATTTTAAGATACCAGCTGACTATATAATGAATAACAACGATCCTAAAACGGAACTTTGAGGAACTTCTGATGTGATTGGTGCTATCTCAGACTCATTATTATGTAGAATGACGCTTTGCCTACGAAGACAAGTAAGTAGAGTGGGAAGCATCTTATCTAGCGGCCGTATAATTTCATTATGAAGATTTAAAAGAGCAGTGGTTGTATTAATCAAAATCATCGCTCTGAGAATTCGATAGTCAAAATGCAGTGGATGCACGATGCAAGTACCCTATATATTCCGGGTGTTTCAACGTTCGCGTTTTTCGTAACTAAGAGAATGACACTTCAAGGACCTCGCGATTCAGACTATTTCCGGTGATGACATAAACCGAATTTTCCAAGAATCATTTTAATTTCTTCCTGGCTTTATTTGAGATGGAATTCCAAAATAAAAAGTGCCATGTCACTTTTTTGCCTTTTCAAGGTGGCATAATTATGATTTCAATATGGCGTTGCGTTTCTTGTCCTAAATTATCAACTTTAATTTTCTTAATAGACGCAATATTGCATTTTTGTACAAGTGAAAAGAGAATTTAGAGTTTTTAGTCCTGATTCCAGAAATGTAATAATATATTGACATTACCAAATATTATTTAATTCAAAACATCAAAATTTTCTAAGCAGGCCTTGAAATTATCAGATAGATTCAATTCACAATATCGTCGACCAAGCGTTCCATCAGCTTTGATGAAAAAAGTAAACAGTTCTATTTCTGATTTAATAAACGTGATGTTATGCGTATCAAGGCATGGATTGGTATTTTAAAAATTCAAATACCTAAAAACGTAATCTTCCTATAATTAGTCCTGACTCATCGAACAACGAACAATCTAATGTTAAAACGCTAGCATGTCGTTTAGGGATGGTATCGAAAACAGTATCATTTTATGAAGCTGGTAAACACATTCTGGAGTTAGTAAATGCCTCAACAAACAATGTATGCAATGTTGCAGATTTCTAGACACATTTCATATCCCTCATACCTAAACTGATGTACAAATGCTGCATCCAAATACTACAACTACGACAGAGGTGACATGTAGAGCATCCATATCTGAAGTTGAAAAAAGATAAAAAAAACATAGTTCTGTGCATCAGTTGTCGTTTTGCAATCATTCTGGCACCAAGCTCGTTAGCATGTAGCTCTGCCTGGAATATTGATGCCCACGTACCTAGGCTAACAGATTTTTTAATATTTGGCTTCGGCGCGAAGATACCAGCTCCAACCCCTACCTCAATCTTGGAGCCATCTGTGTATGCACAGATATCTTCCCTTATCAGGTTAACTTGCTGTTCCAATTCATTCCTGTGTGGAATTGTCACTGAGTAGGGTTTAGCATATCTTGTTATCTTTGGCATTATATCAGAAGGCATTCCCATACTGTGGTGGTTTTGTAAGTCCATCATCATGTCTGTCTCCTCCATAGTGATATTGTCCATTATACCATTTGCCACATGATGAAGTCTATAAGCTGTCCTTCTTGCCTCGCCTTTCAGGTATATGTGCAAGGAGGGTGAATTAAGAAGGACCTCCTTAGCTGCAGTTGGTTGGGTACGAAAGGCACCACTGATCAACATACAAGCTTCTCTCTGTATAGCGCTCAGTTTGGCTTGTGCTGCCTTGTCCCACCAAGCTACAGATACATAGGTTATCATAGGTCTAATAACCATGGTATGTATAAAGCCAAAACATTTGTTTGGGCTTCATTCCCCAGTTATTTCCACAGACCCTTCGGCAATTCCATAGCGAGATCCTTGCCCTTTTAAGGACTGCTTCCAGATGCGAATTCCAGTTTAGTGTTTTATCTAAGATTATTCCTAGTTATTTCGCCTCTTTTGCAGACGGTACATTTTCACCTTGGATTGTTGGAGGTTTAATCTCATCCAGTTTTCTCTTTCTGGTGAAAAGTACGATGACCATTTTTTGGGGGTTGATTGACATTCCTTCCACTTCGCAGCAATCCGCTATTGCGGCTAACACCTCCTAGAGTGTTCCCGGGATATGTTCCGCAGATTTCTCTCTGTCTAGAATGACTAGATCGTCTGCATATGCTTGAACTTCGGCCACCCACAGGCGAATAATGGAAATCAGATTACCTACCAGGAGCGACCACAAAAGGGGAGATAACACCTCTCCCTGTGGGCACCCCCTGGCAGCTCTAAATCTGAGTGTCATCTCCTGTAAGGATGTCTTTATGATTCGGCGTGTCAACATGCTTCTTTTCCAGCCGCAGATCAGTGGATTCACACCCCTGGAGGCGATTTATTCATAGAGGGATCCATTGTTAAATGTACCCTCTATGTCCAAAAAGACTGCTATGGCAATTTCCTTGTTTTCCAAGGACGCTTTGATGCTCGCCACCAACTTGTTGAGAGCAAAGTCTGTTGATTCAACAGCCTGATACCAAATTGATGCTGCATACTTAGAGCATGCCCCTCCAGAGCCGCCACTTATGTACTCATCATTTACCTTTTCAAGGCCTTTCAGCAGAAATGTGGTCAGAATAATTGGTACCTGCTAAGAGAGGTTATGTTCAAAGTTATAAATTACAATTTTCTCCAGTTTTTTGCATATTTAAAAACTTCGAGAAGGATGAAGGCAACTCTCCATCGCGCCTGCCTTGTGAGTAATTAAGCCACATAGCAGAAAAATTAGGAATGACGCGTCACATGCAAACATTTACGCAATGACTCACATCTAGCCGCTGATTTGTATTTTCTACTTGACATCTCCAAACAAAATTTCTATAAACTTTAAATTACTGGAAATAAAAAATAATGTGAAATGTAATAACTTGTTTACGTTTCATGTTTCATATTTTCTCACCTGTTGATTTGAATGTAACAAATCAGGGACTTTATTTTCTTATCTCTCCTTCGAAATTCAGCAAATTTGCATGTGTAATTTCCAGGTTGTACAAGAAAAAGCGGACCAATGTGAGAGTAAAACAGCAAGGTGTCTGTTGGTACTGTATCTGCCTGAGACCAAGTCTAGACCATGCTGATGAGTTGCCGAAAAGCCCGAAACAGCTGTTCTTGCTTGGCCGTATGTAATGAGACAAATGAAAGATATATTACCAGATTGTTCAATGAGGAGTAGACCGTCTCTACTACAGTGAAGACCATTGAGTGGTGACCTGGCTATCCTTTACGAATTAGGATATAGATGCAACACACAGCTTGCTGTTTTATTTTCGCAGTGGTCGATTCTGGTATTGCTCAGCTTTCATCCGTTGACCTACCGAAAACCAATCCTAACCATCTAATGAACTTTCAAAAGCATGAAACAGCTGTTCCTGGTTGGTCGTTTGCTGTCCAACGACCTAAAGCTGTATCACTACCTTTTACATGCAGTTGCATTTGATGACCAGAAGTCATGGAGAATTTTAAATATTATACTTGTATGTTCTAGTTTGCTCATATAGTGTAAGAAGTTACATAAAGGATTGCTTTGTTGGCTGGCGGCTTAGATTAAAATAATAAGAAATTCATTCGCGAAATTATGTTGCTTAATAATGTTACCAGAGTTAAAAAAGCGTTTTATGAGAATTGCGATACAGCTGCAACATACAGCTTGCTGTTTCACTCTCGCAGTAGTCGATTCTGGTAATAGATTGCGCTTTGTGCTCTTATATCGATAAACCTTATATCCTAGAAAGAGGATAGTTGTTCAGCTTTCGTTCGTTCACCTCCCTGAAACCAAGTCTAAACCATGCTGATGAATTTCCACAGCACAAAGCGCCATCTATTAGGAGAACCCACCAGTGTGTTACTAGAAATTTACTTTTCTTCCTGCAAGAGCAAGAAAATATATATACCAAAGTGATATATCCTCAGAAAGTTATTCCTTGTTCTAGAATAAGTTATAACAGCTCAGAGTTCAAAATCATGATTAATGTAATCTAATAAGCCCAAAAGACACTGACATGTAGGCACTACCCTATATTTGAATTAGTACAAAATCAAGAATACACTAAGAATTTCAGTCAGCAACAATCAATATATCAATATCTATGAAATATCCATATAAAATGATATGTTACCAGTTCACATCAGGGTTTTTATAAAGGGGAAGAGATGGCTTCCAACAAAATCGGCTGCGAAACAGCTACAAGGCAGCAACAAAACAAAGCTGGAGGTGTGTGAATGGTGGTTCTCCACAATGGCTTTCCACTCAAAGCAATCGGATATTGAACAAACTTCTTCAGGACAAGCATTAAAGGACGTAGTCCGATGGTATACAAAAGAGAACTTACCGCTGGAGGTTAAAATCACATTACAAAATGGACGGGGTAGTACCCTAACCAACACAACTAAGGTAAGGTACAAGATGAAAGGGTACTACTCCTTACACTGGTGCTTGGGGCGTTAATATCCCAAAATCTGGAAGTTAACGAAAAAAAAAAACGCCCGCAGAAAGTAAAATGGCGCTGGACGCGTAGGTTCGCAATTAAAAGAAGGTATCTTGATAGTAAATCACATTTTAACAGAAGGTATCTTGATAGGAAAGTCAACATTAAAAGAAGGTGAAAATGAATGGCCTTGAATAAGGTATCTTGATAGAACCAAATCGCCCTATACTGCTAGTACGTGTAAAGTCACAAGGTGGCGCGCTGGTTGCCACTGGGCAGAAACAAATCTGTCTACGAGGGACCAACAATATCGTATGAGGAGACTTCTCAGATAGAAGAAAGATTTCAATACAATATTGAGTCGCTGAGAATGACAGATATAATACGTGAGAAATTCTACAATCAATAAACTATGGAATTTGACAAAAGAAAATCATTAAATAGGGTTTGGTCCAGCAATGGGCACCCTATAATCAATAAAGAGAAACTCAAATTAGTCATAAATGATCAACATAGTAAAAAGAAAGGTTACATGACTTTAGCACGTGACAAGTGTGAGAGTGAAACAGCAAGCAGCCTGTTGGAAGTCTATCTACCTGGGACCAAGCCTATGCTGATGAGTGTCCAAAAAGCTTGAAACAGCTGTTCATGGTTGGGCGTCTGCTCTCGGACGAACTAACGCTATATCACTACATGCAGTTTTATTTAATGACCAAAAGGCATGGAGAACTTTACTTGTACGTTATAGTTTGCTCATGTACTGTAAGAGGTAAGTAACAAGGTACATGAAGGATTGCATAGTTGGTCAACTCTTAATGAAATTAACGCGGTACACAGCCTGCTGGCTTAGATTAAAAGAACAAGAAATTCATTCCTGAAATTACGTTGCTTAAGAATGTTTCCAGAGATAAAAAAATGTTTTATGCGCGTTTAAATTTGTAACAACCAGTGCCGTCATAAATTTCAACTTTTGCATTTCCTGAAGTGGACGTCGACAAATCTAAATTAAGAAAAGTATTTCTGCACCTGGAGTGGAAAGTTTCCTTCTCGTGGAGAGTAGTTTCAGGAAGTTGAGCATTATCTTTCAGTTCTTTTGTTTGTACATTTGTATTTCTCTTGGGTGAAATGCTTTCATCGTTTGTTGCAACTACAATTAGCGCTTGCCTATTATACGTAAGATTCTTATATACGTGGCGTAGTAATTTGAAGTCTTTCATTCGTAAAATTAAATCTAACTGTATATCCGGAACGTATTAAGTGAGATGCATTGCAAATGTACTTTTGAGCTCTACGAAACTCTAAATCCGTTTACAGTGTTCTATCCTGCTGAATAGTACGCGTAGGACCTCGGTGCTTCGGGGCTAAATCAAACAGACGAAAGGCAAATAAAATTACAAAGATTGACGGACCAAATCAAGAGAGTAAAATGACATTTAACCACGTGTTGTTGTTATTTGGCAAGATGCGAATGCGGTGTTGCCAAATAGATCATCCTTGTAACCCGCGCTACTGGCAAGATAGTATTGTAGTTGTAAAAAAATTTCGGAAATGAGATACCATGGTTCTTAGGATTTGCATGACATGTAGGTATATCACGAGGAACCGTGTCAGTGATTTCCGCCAGCCTTTCTGTTTGTTCGCCAAACCTTTCGCAAGTACCACCTGATTTTGATGAAACTTTCACATAAGGTTGTCATCATGCCAAGAACGGAAAAGTTCTACAGTTTGCCAGAATCAGTCTAGTTGTGGTGGAGCTAGGTCGCAAAACGAACAAAAAATAACTGCTCGAATTCCGTTTTTTGAGGTTTCACCGCCCCCTGAACATTTTTTAGAAATATTCTTGTAAAGATTAAAAACTGGGCGTTGTGGGTTGTAGGAGGTGCTCACTTTCTCAGCGTTTGTATGTTTAGCAGCTTCCAACCCCTGTAATTCTACGCACCTATTAGACCTATTTCTCTATACAGTTTCCCTTAAAACTTTTTTGTACTTGAGTCACCACGAAGGCCTAAGGCCGTAGCACACCCATGGGGACCGTGGGGTTATAGGAGGATACAGGGGAAAGGGGAGGACGCCATACGGACTCTAGCGAGGAGACACGTGTGCATGCAACATGCACAGATTCTGGCCCCGCCTTAGAGATCCGCCGGGTGGTACCACGACGTTCGACAGTCAGATACCGTCTACCACCTTCGGACAATCACAACATGCATAACCAAGAGAAAAATTCTCGGCATTCGAGCCCGAGTAGCGCACGGCGACTGATTAGTAGACGCCACCGCTACTGTGCAATAATTTATACTTAATTTTTATAGTAGCAGAATTTATAATTTAATTCCCTACAAAATTGTTTGTATTACTTTTTTACTTGGAATCGAGATTTCTGATAAACCGCGTTTAACAAAATGGAGGCAAATGCTCCAGCCCTATCATGACGACCATTTATGATTGAGAAGCAATAGTCTGAGCATACCACCAAAAAAATGTACTGTCGCCAAAATTGTAGGATTACCTTATATACAGTCTCCATATCTCTTGGCCTACTAATTTGTGTCCGTTTCCATTGTCACGATCATGACGACTCAATTTT